GGATATGATGTCGGAAATAGACCGATTTTATATCACCCTTCAATTCGAATTAGCAAAAGCAATGTCTCCTTGCATAATATGGATTCCAAACATTCATGATCTTGATGTGAATGAGTCGAATTACTTAGCCCTCGGTCTATTGGTGAACTCTCTCTCCAGGGATTGTGAAAGATGTTCCACTAGAAATATTCTTGTTATTGCTTCGACTCATATTCCCCAAAAAGTGGATCCCGCTCTAATAGCCCCGAATAAATTAAATACATGCATTAAAATAAGAAGGCTTCTTATTCCACAACAACGAAAGCACTTTTTCACTCTTTCCTATACTAGGGGATTTCACTTGGAAAAGAAAATGTTCCATACTAATGGATTCGAGTCCATAACCATGGGTTCCAGTGCACGAGATCTTGTAGCACTTACCAATGAGGCCCTATCAATTAGTATTACACAGAAGAAATCAATTATAGACACTAATACAATTAGATCTGCTCTTCATAGACAAACTTGGGATTTGCGATCCCAGGTAAGATCGGTTCAGGATCATGGGATCATTTTCTATCAGATAGGAAGGGCTGTTGCACAAAATGTACTTATAAGTAATTGCCCCATAGATCCTATATCTATCTATATGAAGAAGAAATCATGTAACGAAGGGGATTCTTATTTGTACAAATGGTACTTCGAACTTGGAACGAGCATGAAGAAATTCACGATACTTTTTTATCTTTTGAGTTGTTCTGCCGGATCGGTCGCTCAAGACCTTTGGTCTCTACCCGGACCCGATGAAAAAAATAGGATCACTTCTTATGGATTCATTGAGAATGATTCGGATCTATTTCATGGCCTATTAGAAGTGCAAGGCGCTTTGGTGGGATCCTCACGGACAGAAAAAGATTGCAGTCAGTTTGATAATGATCGAGTGACATTGCTTTTTCGCTCCGAACCAAAGGATCCCTTATATATGATGCAAGATGGATCTTGTTCTATCGTTGATCAGAGATTTCTCTATGAAAAATACGAATCGGAGTTTGAAGAAGGGGAAGGAGAAGGAGTCCTCGACCCGCAACAGATAGAGGAGGATTTATTCAATCACATAGTTTGGGCTCCTAGAATATGGCGCCCTCGGGGCTTTCTATTTGATTGTATCGAAAGGCCTAATGAATTGGGATTTCCCTATTTGGCCGGGTCATTTCGGGGCAAGCGGATCATTTATGATGAAAAGTATGAGCTTCAAGAGAATGATTCGGAGTTCTTGCAGAGCGGAACCATGCAGTACCAGAGACGAGATAGGTCTTCCAAAGAACACGGCTTTTTTAGAATAAGCCAATTCATTTGGGACCCCGCAGATCCACTCTTTTTCCTATTCAAAGATCAGCCCTTTGTCTCTGTGTTTTCACATCAAGAATTCTTTGCAGATGAAGAGATGTCAAAGGGGCTTCTTACTTCCCAAACAGATCCTCCTACATCTATATATAAACGCTGGTTTATCAAGAATACGCAAGAAAAGCACTTCGAATTGTTGATTCAGCGCCAGAGATGGCTTAGAACCAATAGTTCATTATCTAATGGATTTTTCCGTTCTAATACTCTATCCGAGAGTTATCAGTATTTATCAAATCTGTTCCTATCTAACGGAACGCTATTGGATCGAATGACAAAGACATTGTTGAAAAAAAGATGGCTTTTCCCGGATGAAATGAAAATAGGATTCATGTAATGTAACAGGAAAAAGGTTTCCCATTACTTAGCCGGAAAGATATGTGGCCATGAAATAGGGATTAAGTGGAACGGAATTGACTGGGGTGGTAGAGTTGTAGAAACACCTGTTTCTACAACTTAGCTCCATGGAACAATATGCTACTACTGAAACATGGAAGAATTGAAATCTTAGATCAAAACACTATGTATGAATGGTATGAACTGCCTAAACAAGAATTCTTGAACAGCGAACAACCAGAGCTATTACTCACTACATCAAAAAAATTTCCATTAATGAAGGATGGAAATCCATTGGAAAATCAAAAATACGCATGTCGGATGAAATTGTTGTTGCTATCTGTTCCAATAACGAATCAACTGAATAACTAAATAAAATAGATAGGCCTTTCTCTTCGTCTCAGGTCGATAGATCTTCTCAATTGGAAGATCCCCTATATGGATAATACACATTCCAGTTGACCGAGCCTAATTCTACTTGTTTTGTTCCGAAGTAAAGATATCCACGTAGTGGTTCGCCCTATTCAGATATTCACGACCAAGAAGTACTGGATTCTCTTTAGGATAGGTCCTGAAAGGAGAAGGAAGGCTGGAATGCCGCCAGGCGTCTATTATTGAATTCACCCGACCCGATAGTACCAATTTTGGTAACGTCCATCCAGTGCCAAAGTCACTGAATGGGTAAGTCACCAATCCCTAAAACGGACTATGTAATGTACTTTATCTGCTGGGTTACGGGGGCATTTTACCAGAGGTTTAGATTGTATCAATCTACCCTTGTGTGATTCCTGTTGAATCATATACTGCGGGGCGCAGGGCGGACGATTTCAAAGCGGACTCCCCCTCCCCATTCATTAGATAGAGAAAATCGCCAAGATTTCGCGATCCGCTGCAGAACTTATTACATTTCAATATTATGCCTTGAAGAGGACTCGAACCTCCACGCTTTTTAGCACGAGATTTTGAGTCTCGCGTGTCTACCATTTCACCACCAAGGCATCTTGAAAGTGAATCCTATTCCATAAATATGATATCTATCTAGTACGGTGTATTGAATATATGACAAAGGTGGAGTGTTGAAGTATTTCTATTGATCGGTCATGTCATATAGGCCCGAGTCGGACATCTAATTGCTTAGATTTGAATTATCCGGAGGATGCCTTATATATATATTAATATTATATCAAAAAGATGGACAATCAAACCTATTTCTCGATTCAATAGAAGTCCAACCAAAGAGGTGAATAGGGTCCCAAATAACGAGAGATATGTAAAAAGTAGGTAAGATTTCGCCTATTCCTAATCCTAAATGAGATTGCTAACAACGCCTAGGGATCCCTATAGTCTAAAAATAGTATCTATTTAGAATACGCCTCTGAATGCAACCCCTCTTATCTTCATAATGAGAATGTATCTATAACCTCTTATTTCCAGGTCTCGCGCGTCCGACTATGAATGAAACTTTATAATCATCCGCCACGAATCGACTCGATCATCAGATATATAGATTATAAGTCTATAACCTTAGTCCATACCATTTTGGGCCGGAACCCGATCTAACTAATTCTTTGATTCCAGTTCACGATTGATTAGTTAAGAGGACTTGCAACTAAGAAATAGATCTCTAGCCAGCTAAAAGGTATCCTGAGCAATCGCAATAATAGACCGTGGTTCATAATGATATTCTTGGTATAGCTAGACCATGCCACTATCATCACATACAATCATTACTCAATCTCAATGGCAAGTTAGTTTGAATCTTCAAAGAGGGGATATTACTATAATTCGCCATGCCTGACGGGAAGTCTATTTCTTGACGTTATCGTCCAGTCATATAATAATCTTTGGATTATTTTAGATAATAAGTTAGATAGAAAGAACGCCTCGCCTAAAGTGCAGTCCTATGTGAAAACCAATGAAATATTAGGAGCCATGCCATGCACCATCTCACACCAGAACTGCAATGGAGTTTTTTCAAACAAACCCTTGCCATAGTGGGGGAAGGACCTACACTAGGGATAAGAGAGCATAAGAGCTAAAGGATGGAGCCAAAAAAGGATCTTTTGTGTATAATCCTGCCCATAATCTCGAATGTGTGTTATCAGTTCCCGTTAGGGGGCGTAGACCAAATAATATAATACAAGCAAAAGTTATTCCTAGATTCATGGAGATATAGAACAGCATATATAGTTATCATGCTCGCATATCCACCATTTGAGTCTCCAACAATTAATTCCAATAATCTTAACATATCCGATTTGACCTATGGCACGAATATGCAAGCATAATGTTTCATGCTTGCTTTGAGTAAATAGGGCAATGAAGATTACCACCAATATACATGCTACTAGAATAGCTAGCGATTTCAAGAAGAAGATGCTGCATCATTTGATGAGAAATAAAATGGAATATACAAAAATTCGAGTGGCTAAAGCTGAAGCAGCTACTTGTCGAAGTAACAGAAATAGAAAAGCAAACGACATGCCGAGTGGAGAGAGTCAGAGTCGAAAAAGAGGATTCATCACTTCTTCTATTCTCTCATTCAAAACCGTGCGAGTGGATGATACTTTCATCTCGCACGGCTCCCCATAAGTGATAAAAGATAAGAAGAACGCCAATCTTCTTTCTTTTTTTGCATTACTTTCCTCGCGTATGTAGTATGTAAGAAGATCGATATCCCTTCTAAAACGGATTACCCTAATCCTTAACCTTTTCGAGGAATCCTTCATCATCAAGTGGTTGCTGAATGACTGATTTTCTCAATCCGTTTCCGACCTTAGGTTCGGCGTTAGGAGCACGTCGTCCAAAAGATTGACGAACGTAGAACCATCTGAATTTGCATTCCAAGTTTCTCAATAAAACCATGAGAATGATCATCTTAGGGTGATCCTTTTGTCGACGGATGCTCCTAATATACACTCGTAGACTCTGAAAGGACGAGAACTCCACTATGTAGGCATCTACATCGAGAATTCAAGTCTTTCTTGTATACGTCATTAGTCCGATCCTTTGTAGGAACTACCCGTAACTAACAAACTTTCAAAATGCGATCCGCTTTATCATAAAGAGATTCGTTGTTCCTGACCCTGGCTTCACCCACTTAAATTGTTATTTGCAACAAGTCAAAGTTACTCCGTCTTGGATCTGCGTCATCGGGATAGCATTTCTACTTACTGGGCATGTCCATAGGAGTTATTGAAAAATCCAAACATCTCAGAGATAGATAGCCAGAGGTAATGGAATTTCTCAAACGCAACCGCACTCCCTTCGTATTACTTCAGGAGTCATTGATGAGAAGGGCTAGCGCTAGGGAAAGATTTGAAGCCCCAATTCACTACAGTGATGAATATAAGTGCCAATTGAAATTCCTGGGGAATTATACATTTGTGTATTGATAAGACCATTCACTATTTCTTGAAAGCTCACCATCTCTCCCCCCGAGATGAACCATATAGCCCAGAGAAAACCATGAACCAGAACTAGAAGAAGCTTGCCACCACAGCCACCCATGAGTAAATATTTCATAGTAGCTGTTCATGTAGATCGCGTACATCTTTCTTGGTATAGTCCAGATAATAGTAAGGTAGAAGAGCATAAACTGGAAACATTCTAATGAGCTACACAAGATAGTTATTAAATCGTTAGCACCACATAAAAAAACATATCCTCCTAGGCAGTAGCTGTTAATACGAATAACAGAAACTCTGTTATAGCCATTTCTGATACATTCATGTAACTCTATACGCGATAGAGAGGATACAGAGAGTTATGAACATAGTAAAATAAGAAATTGAAAAGATTTCGTTGAAATTGTTCATTTGGAAATTTCCTGAAAAGCTAATCATAGGTTTCTTCTCCCTCCCATCGCAGAACAATAGGGGGCCACTTCCCCGTTATACCTCAT